ATTCTCAACCCTACCCCCTCAGATTTTTCTAAATATTTTAAAATCTTCACGTTTTATTTAAATATGTTATCAATACTTATTTTGGCCCATTTACGTCAAAAAAAGTTTAAAAATAATGATTATAATAATTGTCACTTATCTAGGGTACATCTTCACTGAAGTTTTATTTAAACATGCTAGCAATATTTATTCTAACCCATTTTGGTCAAAAAAAATTCAAAAACTTTAAAAATAACGATTATGACAATTGTCACTTTTCAATGGTACATCTTCATGAAATTTTAATTTAGCATGTTTACAATTAATATTTTTACCCATTTACAACAAAAGAATTCAAAATAAACAACGATTATAACAATTGTAACTTATCTATGGTACATCTTCACTGAAATTTTAAGACATGTTAGCAACTTATTTTAGCCCATTTACGTCAAAAAAATTCAAAATATAAAATTGACAATTGTCACTTTTCTAAGGTATACCTTGATGAAATTTTAATTTAACATGTTTACAATCGATATTTTTACCCATTTACGTTAAAAAAATTTAAAAAAGCTTAAAAATAATGATTATGATAATATTCACTATCTAGGATACATCTTCACTGAAATTTTATTTAAACATACTAGCAAAACGCATTTTGATCAAAAAAATTCAATAAACTTTAAAAATAACGATTATGACAATTGTCAATTTTCAATGGTAAATCTTTATGAAATTTTAATTTACCATGTTTACAATCTATATTTTTACCCATTTGCAACAAAAAAATTCAAAAACTTTATAAACAACGATTATGACAATTGTAACTTATATCTATGGTACATCATTACTGAAATTTTATTTTAACATGTAACAACTTATATTTTTGCCCATTTACGTCAAGAAATTGTAAAAAAAACTCTAAAAATAATGATTATGACAATTGTCGCTTTTATATGGTACATCCTAATTGAAATTATAATTTAACATGTTAAAAATACATATTTTTGCCCATTAGCGTTAAAAAAATCTAATATGTTTAAAAATACCGATTATGATAATTGCCATATTTCCAAGGAACATCTTCATTGAATTTATAATTTAACATCTTTACAATATAAATGATATTTTTACCCTTTTGAGTCAATAAATTTCAAAAATCTTAATAAATAACGAACTGACAATTGTCACATTAAATTATTTTCCTTAAAAGGATCATATAAAATAATTAAATAAGTTGAATATAAATATTTAAAAAAAAAATTATTTAGAAAACCCACCTCTTTTAATATATTTAAGAAATAGATAATTTTACAAAAATGATAAAAAAAACTATAAAAGATTTCACTTAAAAATTGTACATTTATAATAAATTTCACAAAAGAATTCCTCAAAAAAAATATATTTACAAAGAAATTTAAAATTTTTATCAAAATATGTTCAAAAATCTTTTTAAACTTCAAGAAATATTTTTTACTTAAAATCTTGGGCGTTAAAATCACTAATAATTGTAACAAAAATAATATTACAATAGTAGCATATCATTTTTTTTATTAAAAAACATCAAATAATAAATATTATGTTTTCTTTTAAATAAATGCATTCGCAATATATTTATTGTTTCGCGGTAATGCGCTCGCGATAAAAACTTCGCGCAAACATATTCGCGATAAAATATTCGCTATAAAGTGTTCGCGTAAAATGTTTCGCTAAAATGTATTCGCTCTAATAAATTCGCGGTTAAGGTTTCGCGGAAATAAATTCGCGATAATGGCTTCGCGATAATGGCTTCGCGAAATTGTCTTCGTTATAAATGTTTCGCGGAGATAAATTCGCAGAATTGGTTTCGCGATTTTACCTTCGCTATAAAAACTTTTCGCGATAAACGACATTAAGTTTATCGAAAAAGTGTTTCGCGATAAAAGTTTCGCTGAATTGACCTGATACGAAATAAATATACATAACATAAAATAAAATAACAAAAATAGAAAAATAAAAATATCGGATCCTGCAGGCTCGGTCTATATAGGGAACTTACCTAAAATGTCGTTAAAAGGTTATAATAATATTTTAAATTTTAGCAAAAATTAAAATTAATTTAAATATTTCTTCCATGTGTATTAATATTTTATCACACAAAAATTTAAATAGATTTTCATACATTTTTTTAAAAATCTTAATTATTAATAGATAAAAATTTTATCCTAAAAAAATTCTATTTAATTTATCTACTAATAACTCTAATTAGGCAAAATTTCTAGAGTGTATAAAATGCTCAGAAATCCAAAGAGACAGAAGTTGCTGAATATAATTATTTCTTAGACTTCTTAAGCTACAAGAAAAGGTATTCGGCAAGATGGAGCCTTTGACATTAAGCGTTACCGCCTTTTTGGATCTAGAAGAATCTATTTTGATTGCCTTTTAAGAAATATCGGAATGACCTGAACCAGAAATTTATGAAGGTTACACAACAATTTTTGCAATATTTTTCAAAAAAATGATTTGGATTTGGTTGAGGTTATGATAAGCGAATATTATTATATTACAACTTATAAGAGCTGATATCCACCAATACTTTTACAATATTTGTGTGATTGTTGAGGCTAAGCGAAATTATATGATCTTGATCAAAAGCTTCTACTTGCATGTAGACAAACAATCGTTGCAGTATTAGCATGGACTCAATTGAGGATTACTATAGAATAACTGTTATTCCACTTATGGATACATTTTTAAATCAATTAGCCATTTGCGATTTATCAAATGGCTCTATCCAATTTACATATATTATTACCTATAAATCTGTCTGAGGATTAAATCTTGATATTGAAAATTAAATATTTCGCACAATTATATTCAACCTAATCTTCATTACGAAGAATTAAAACTTATCTTAGAATTGTGACATTAAAAAATTGATTTATACTAGCTCTGCTTAATATACATAGATATGTAATCCCCAATACAGAACAACCTATTGAAAAATTGGAGCAATCGCATAGAAGATGAAATCTCCATTCATGAATGATATTTTGATTAACTTTTTAAATTATCATATAATGTTTAATTCATAATTTATTGTGATTTATATTCCTATTTAGATCGCTGTAATATTTTTTACAATATTATATTCGCTCTTAAATATTTTGTATTTTCCTATATTTTATTATTTGTGTTCAAAATTGTCATTTTTTAAAATGATTTGCTATGATAAATTTAATATGATTATTAGTTCTGATAAATTTTTTATGTTCCAAGAAAATCTTTTTAATATTTAAAAAATTATCCCCCCCCCCACCCCTATAGAAAAACCCTGGCTACATGCCTGGCATAAGGGGGTTTCCATTGTATAAAAAGACTTTCATATAGGAGTATCTAAAATTCATCTTTTGAGAGAAGGCAACTCTGATATTTGGCAATATTTTTCTGGCTAATATATTGATGGAATAAATGATAACACAATATTTATTGCATCATAAATTGATGAAATATGGAACTCTTTCGTGTTGTTAAACTGCCCAGTTTGAGCCGATTTTTAAAAACGACTAACTTAGCCAGAAAAATATTGCCTAAGTCTCGAGATTTTGCTAAGAGATGTCCAAACCTTTGTGCCATCTATGAGTAAAATTCATTGCGTAATATTTTTCTGGATAAAATATCGAGTTAGCCATTTTTAAAAATCGGCTCAAAACAAGCCGTTAGCACTTTAAACTCTTTGTTATTGAATGAATGATACACATTGCATCATAAAAGAAATACATGCCAATTTTTAATATATAACTTTAATATAATTTAAAAAATAATGATATTGGCATTAGAGGTCTACAATAAGCGGGTTTATGGCCCATAAGCCCGCCCGCATATAAGTTTAAAATTACCCTCCCCATTAGGCTATAAATTTTTACCCATCCGCCTATTATATAATTTTTTACCCCATGCCGCTCATAAATTAAATAAGCTCATTCTTTCAATTTTTTAAAAATCTAATTAAATTTTCAGCGCTACACCCCTACAAAAAACTTTTATAATTTAGGAAATTGCTATATTAAGCTAGAAAAAATATTCAATTTAAATTACGGAGAAGGAATTTATTTGATTTAATAAAATATTTATCTAAAAAATTAAAATATAGAATTAATATTTATTGATATTATTTCTAATTATAATGCAAATAATAATGAATCCACATTTTCTGAATTCACGCACATTCCTTTTTGTTCTATAAGCCTTCCAGCATTGTTAATTCCTCGTTCAGAAGAAGCACTGGTTAATCTTGATAGCTTCGATCAATTTTTTTCTTGTCGTTTCCACCAAAGTAGGATATCCCTTTGAAGTATATTCTCTACTTAAGTGAGATATTTAAATATAAAGTGAAACCATTAATAATAAATAAAACAATTTAAATTAATTGTTTATAAAGGCTAAACTTAAATTAGTAGCTTAAAATTTTGTTAAATTATACAAAAACTCGCTACTTTAAGATTTAAATATTTTGTTATGTCATTAGGTAAGGAGCTCTCCTCTCTAACAGTCACACCTAGTGTTGTTAAACTACCTAACTTTAGTCAACTATAAAACAGTGTAGCCAATTTTTAACCAAAAATATTAGAATCAATCTTCAAGTTGAGACTCAACTTAGAAGCTTAATTCAATTTTTTTAGGCTACAAGCTTGACTAAGCCACAGTAGAGATGGTCAAAGTTAGGTAATTTAACAACACTAGTCACACATTCCCATCTGTTGTTTAATTTTGACGTGGATATTTTCATCCACGTTGATATTATATTCTTCCATGCAAATACATGTTTTCGATATCAACACATCCTCAGATATCGAATTGAAAATGTTGAAATTTCATGGAATTTTTCTTAACTCGCCCGACCGCAAGCTCGTTCTATAAAAAATTTAACCCGCCCGCACGCCCACTGAGATGAGCGGGTGTGGGCGGGCTTAAACCCCGCCCAATGCTGGCTTCTAATTAGCATTATATATAATTCTTGTTTTGATATTATATTTTAGGATGATACATCACTCTATGCACAATCATATTTCTTAGGTTCACATGGCTATATCATAGTTTATTCAATATCCAATTTGAAAAGGTATGTTATAGTTATTAATTTTTAATCATTAAAATTACTTACGTTTTTCATTATATAATAATTAAAGTTTTAAGTTCTAAAATGATTATTATACAAACTGAAATTTTATAATTATCAATTTTCTATTTGATAAAAAGTGGATTTAGAACCTGGACTAAAAAAGATTCTAGTTATTATTATTTTAAAAAAGTTGATCCGGGTTCATATTTTAAAAAAGGTTCCGGTTTTTAGTTAATTTTATTCCGAGAGTTTTGATTCAAGATGTAAACTTTATTAATCATCAATAAAAAATATTTAAAAAAAATACGAATTGAATATTTTTGAAAAATTATTCCATTGGCAAAATAAATATTTATGAAATATTTTTAAAAATAATAAAGTATTCTATTACTAGTTTAATTTAAAAAAAGAATAGATGGAGAAATAAAGTTTCCAAAGGATTGGCTACTTCTTAAAATAATTTTGTATTTACAAATAATTTTATTAGAATTTTAAATCGAATAATTCGAGTTCGCCATTGTTTTATGCCATGCTCACTTTAATTTATTTTGCATTTAGATGATAAAAAATATTTTATTTAGTATATTAATTATTTTTTACTCTTGATTTTATAAAAATAAATCCAAATTAGCTTTGAAGTTGCTTCTCATATATATGAGAGAATTCTACGCATGACAGGAAAGATACAGTATGAAATAATTAATTTATTTTTTTTTAATTTATCATAATCATAATAATAATACATATTGCCTAGTGTTGTTAAACGGCTCGATTTTTAAAATGGCTAACCCAATATTTTAGACATAAATATTACGCAAGCCTGCAGATTTTGCTCATAGATAAAAGAAAAGTTTGGACATCCATTAAAGAAATCCCGAGATTTGCATAAAAATATTGGGTTAGCCATTTAACAACACTTAATATTGGGTGACTAAACTTTTATGAATTATAAAATTGGCAAGATTTTGTAGTTTCATTTTTATTTATCCCTGCAACATCGTATCGGATCACCATTTTTAAATCCTTCCGGTTCTTTTGAAATAACTCATGTTCGGATTTTTTAAATATATATATAACGCATTTATTTTTTTAAAAATTAAAATTTATAAATCAAAAATTATCTTTGTCATTCTTAAAATATTTGAATTTAATTTTAAAAAAAAAGTAGTTATAAAACAAAACAAAATATCATTTTCAGAGGAATGAAATATTTTACTGGATAAAGATATACTAATAAATTTTAATATATTTTATATTGAATTAATTTTATATTCTATACATAATATAGTTAATAAATACCTTATAAGATCCATATGGCCCTGGCAAGGTCATTTAATTTTTTAGTACCAGGTAATAGTAAAAAAATTGGAACCGGTACATCTCAAATAATATTCAATTTTTTTAAAAAAAAGTTATATCTTTAAACAATCCGTACATTGGAAAATTACTTCTTATCATGGCGAAGAACTGGAATGAAAAGGAACATTAATATCTATCAGTTTGACACATCCATTGATGTTCATTAATTAAGAAAAATATATAAGATTAAAGAAGTGACTAAACTACACCAAGTCAATAGCTATACCACACCATGCTTTTTTGATTGGTCCAATTAAAATAAAATCAATACCATTTTTATTATTTAATGTTATTAATTTTTAAAATTAACTTACTTGATTACAAAAGTAGGTTTTATTCAATAAGGAAATTAGAGAAATGTTGATGATGCAAAAAAAATAATTTCTTCAATCTAGATAAAGCTAAGGCCTTAGTACTCAGAGTCCTTCATGGGCCTGATATGGACCTAATATTATATTTTCTAGTGGACTTGAAATTTTTTTTGATTATTTAAAACAATTGCATGCTTAAAAAAATATTGTAAACAAAATGGTTGTCTAAATACAATGAAATATTGATTTCATTGAATACAATAAATTGAATTTTTTGATATAAAATATTTAGAACTTATTACGGGCTTGAGAATTTTTTTAATATTAGATACGGGCCAGGCAAAATTTTTTTAAAGCAGGTCTGGGCCTGGCCTGATTAAAAAAATCATGCCTATGAAGGTTTCTTCTAGAACGGCCATGACATTACAATCGTTTGATTTTAATGTTAAAAAGTTAATACTCAAATATGTAAAAAATTTATTGGTTTTGTAACGCTAATAACAAAAATTTTTTGATATGTAATATTTTTTACCATTTCAGTTTCCATATTATGCATTTATAATTTTTCAAAAAGATAAAAAAAATTTTTTTTCAAATTTTAGTATATTGTTTCAATTAGATTTTCATAAGTTGCATAATGAGTGATCAATGACAAATGTAGGATTTTGCGTGGCTGATTTTTTAAATAATAATTCTAGTTATTGCTAATACTATACCCAGTATTCATAATTTTGAGATTTCATTGCCATAAATTTAAATAAGGAAATGTTTTCTTTTGATTTTCTTCTTAAAGTATATTTTATTTTAATTGTAGTTATTATATAGATATTCATTAATTTATTATTCAATCCTCCGTGCTATTAATACTATCCCATTTGTACATGTAAAAATATTTGTGAGATTCATATGCTACTATGGTTCTCCCCTAAATACCCTAGGAAGAAAACAAGTATTTTTTTTTATATGTAAACAATTGCGATTATAAAACATAGCTGCAAACTCATATTAACAATTTAAAAGTAATATAAATTGAGTAATAATAAAAGTTAATAATTACGGTTCTGAAACATAGCTGCAAACTTATATTAACAATTTAAAAGTAATATAAATTGAGTAATAATAAAAATAAAAGTTAATATAGAACACAATTGTTAAAAGTATGTAACACGCATCACTTCCAAAAAAAATTTAATATCGGGGGAAAATGGTAATGGGAATTAATTTTGAGAGACAATCATAAAAACTGGGGAAAGTAGGTGATAAAATATAATAACAAGAATTAATCATTTGTATTACGGGGTATATATGACACAAATGTTATAAAAAATTGAGAAGAAGATATTTGGGAGAAATAGTTAATAACAATAATTAGTATACAAACAAATCAAATAAATTGGGAGAGGAGTGAGGAGGGGTCAAATTAGCAATACAATATAGTTTTTTTTTCGTAATTATACCCTTAACTTACACATATATATGAAGAGTATAATTTACACTATAATTGTGCTAGTAGTTATCCATAATAGTTCTTTTTCGTAATTATATATAAATTACACTATATATGGTTAATGGGGAGAGGCCAACCTAAAAATAGAATATAGTTTTTTCTCGTAGTTATACCCTTGTCTTAGACATATATAAGAAAGGTATAACTTACACCATATTAGTTGGAATAATATAATAATAATAACCAATACTGGGTTTAATTTAATTATATAATACCACAGTCTAGTAATGTATTACTTTAAATACTAATCATTGTTATTTAAAATTAAATTAAATTTAAATGTTAAACAAAAAAAATAAATTTAAGAGCCTTAAAAAACTGTTTAGTTTGTAAAACAACAATGTGCTTACAAAATTTTTCGCAATTATGAGAAAACAAAAATGTGCTTACAAAATTTTTCGCAATTATGTGACTATAAAATTTTTAATATCGAGAAAAATGAATATTATTTTCACAACCGTTTCTTCATCTTCAGACCCATACCGAACGCGTAAAGGTTGTATCCAGTCTCTTGAAAACGTCTCTACAGGCACACATAGGTTGTATCCAGTCTCCGCACCAGCTTCCAATAAGCTGGTGCCCCCTCCACCATAAAGACAATCGGGAAAAATCTTGTCCTGAGAATGTACTCGCTAGTAGTCTGTCTTATGAGGAATTGCTTTGTAGAATAGATATTAGTACTAGGAATATCTCAATTTAAATATAAGAATTTAATTAATCAATTGAAATTTATATATAAAGCTCATGAGAAAATTACATTTGTATCAGTTAATTTTACATTTTTCGAATTTAGTTATTTTTATATAATAAAGAAACTTTTTTTAATTGATTAATTAAACTCTTATATTTAAATTGAGCTAAATTCCTACTACTAATATCCATTCTACAAAGCAATTCCTCATAAGACAGACTACTAGCGAGTACATTCTCAGGACAAGATTTTCCCCGATTGTCTTTATGGTGGAGGATAAGATCACCAGCTTATTGAAAGCTGGTGCGAAGACTGAATACAACCTATGAGCGTCTGAAGTTGAAAAGACGTTTTCAAGAGACTGGATACAACCTTTGCGTGTTTGGTATGGGTCTGAAGATGAAGAGACGGTTGTGAAAAGAATGATTCATTTTTCACGATATTAAAAAAATTTATAAGCACATTTTTGTTTTCTCCATAAGGACAAGCGGAGAAAAGTCTTGTCTAAAATAGAATATTAGACGTCGGTCTTGAGAGGAATTAGTAGGGTATTTGACTTCGGTATTGAGGGGAATTAGTAGGGATTTAGCTCAATTTAAATATAAGGATTTAATTTATCAAGCGAAGATTTCATTATTTTATTAATTAAGTATAAAAATAAAATCTATTACTATTGAAAAGTAATTTTCTCATGAGCTTTTTATATAATAAAAAATTTATCTTTTTTTATAAAATGTAAATCAATTACGGTTATAAAACATAGCTGCAAAATCATATTAACAATTTATAAGTAATATAAATTGAGTAATAATAAAAATAAAAGTTAATATAAAACACAATTCGTTACAAATATGTAACAACAATGAAATCTAAATTCCTTTATAAGGCAGGTTTAATTATAAAAAATAACTGTATTATACCAAAAATAAAATTAAACTATTTATTCTATATTCAAATTATTTCTTATTATCTCCGAAGTTGTGGTATAGCCTAGCGACTACACATCTAACTTGGTGTGGTATAGCCACGACCAAGATTAAATAAGACAAATATGCAAAATTAAATTTTATAAATATTTGTTACCCAAAATTTACAAATATAATGTAGAAACTTAAATCCAGACCTCGGAAGCAAAACCGCCAGTTTACCCCTTTCAAATAAACGTGATAAATTTACTTCTAATTTTGCTCAGTAACTTATTTATATAAATATCTAATTTTACACTTCCTTTTGATTTCTTTCCTTCATTTTTTAATCTTTGACAAAACATAACTAATATTTGTTTTATATTTAAATTACTAGCCTTTGAGAAAGGAATTAATTTTTTTTAATCACAATCAAAATTTAGCACGCCACTAGTATTAGTTGGAAATAAAATGGACCTCAACTCTCAAAGGTTAGGTATAATATAATATACATATGTTAAGGGTGAAAAAAATTTTTTATTTGCCAATATTTTTATTTAAACATGATTTATCTGACCTTCAATTTTATCAAGCTAGAATATAAGTCAGTGGAAATTCTTTATTGAATTTTTTAACCACCTAGCCTGTACTTACCTGACCCGTATATTTTGTACAAGGTGCCTAACCTGTAATATTTTTTATGATGGAAAACGACATCAATGTCTATTTGTCAACCTTAAAAACAAAAATATTTTACACAATATATCCGGATATTTTCTAATAAAGATCAGTATGCGCCGGAAAAAAACTTGGGCCGGAACGAACAAACTGTGCAGATTATTTTTATGGCCTGGTTTAAGTTTTGAAAATGTTTTTAAATTTGATAACTAGACATTAATATGTCGTTTTCCTTCGTAAAAAGATACTTATGGGCCAGTCAGATAACTGGTCTAATATTATCTTATTGGCTGGGTTAAGTAAAAATCATTATGACTGGGCTAGCCAAAACTCTTCAAAGTTCCATGGGCTGGTTCAAGCCAGGGTCACGCCAACCTCTGATTTCCATTATAATCTCATGTAGTCTTAGTTTTCCTCAAATAATCTGTTATAAAAAATTCATTTATTTCTAATCTCATATAATTGCAGAAAATATTTGTGACATGGCGAAATTTTCATTCTTATACTTATATCACAACTTTCAATCATTTTAAAACTCATCACTGGCGCATAATTATGTTTTAAGTAAGAAGGCCATCTAATGATAGAAATCTGATTGAGCTATAAGGGCCACGATTTACCCGATTACCTTTAATATAAATTTTTATAAAAATATAATTATATTATATCCATCGGTAACTAGGCCACTCAAATTTGAATGGTTGTGATTGGATAAGTTTTTTCCATGTTATGTGACTTTACACATTGATCTTAACAGGTTTTGTCAAAGTATCTATGTGATGTTTTATGAGTTAATATTTACTGTATGGTTGTGAATAGTGAAAATAAATAAATAATTTCTTTTGAAAAAAATGTGAATATCTTAATTTCATGAAAAAGTTTCTTGAAAAATATATTTATATTCATTTAAAAATAAATATTATTTTATGTTTTTATTATATATTTTCGGTGTAAATAAATATTCTCATTTTTTTAAAGGAAGTAAAATAAAGATTACTTTTGTATATTATATAAGTGCAATTATTTAAATTCCTTTTATCAAAATTTGTAAATCGCAAAATTTCTATCTATAAAAATATTATTAAAAATGATGAGTTATATAAATAATAATGTAACTTGCAATGTAATTAATTTCTTTTTTAGGATGTAATTATTACTGTAACGAGTTAACTTTTTAAGAATTTTGTAATGTTTTTAACACAATTGTGAGTGACTTACATGTTCTTGATTTTGAAAAGTTAGTGATCTCTACATTTAAATGGCAAAATTTTAAGCAACAGAATTATACCTTTTGCAAAAATTTCATGTTTGGTATATGAACTTCAAAGGAAACCTCATTAAATATTACACTGAGGAAGTTTCCAAATTTGACCCATAAAATTATATATTTTATCAGAAGAATTATTAAAAGTAATCACAAATCCTAAAAAAGCGCAACGACAACAATATAAAGCGACTGGAAAAAATATTTGGTAAATATAGTATTAGGTTCGATCCTTGTTATATAAGTATCATCACTCATCACATTTAATATTCGATTCAAACCTATTATATATTATTTTATATTGCTAATGTTTTTATTTGAAACCTTATAAATATTCTAAAATTTTGTCAAGTTTAATATTGAAATCGATATTGGGATAAATCGTGTTTTTAACTAAATAAAATTTCTTAGAATTATGAAATTTGATCAAGCTGGGCTCGGGCCTAATAATCAAAAAATGTGGGCTCAGACTATTCTAAAAATAGTATATAAATTCATATGATCTCGTCTTTTATTAAAATAAATCCCTTTTAGAATTAGAAGGAAGCTTTTAACTTTTAAAAATTTCGGGCTGACACGGATCAAAGAAATCGGGCTTGTATAAGCCAGGAAAAATTAAATTTGGAGCGGCTAAAAGCAGTTGCGTTAAAAATTAAACATTGGACCGGGTTGGTTAAAAATTTTTTAAAGCAACAAGTGGGCTGGTAAATTTGAAATATTGGTGTCCATATGCATATTTTATAAGCTGAAAAATTACCAATCAAAAGAAATTTAAACCTCTGGAAATTTTTAAAATTAAAATAGGGTGGATTTGCAGACTGCCGTCTATTTCATCATTATCCATGATGGGATTTTATTTATAATCAATATAAATGAAATTTATTCAAGTCCTAGGGTTTATTATTTTTTTAAATAAAATTAATAAATCTCAATCATTGATCATCCATAATTTTATATCTTTTCTTAGATTATACTCCAATATTTTTTTTGAAATTGTAATTTATATTAAAGAGTAATCAGTAGAGATATGGGGAAAACACTTGCAGATTCATGGGGTGCCGTATTTTTCGAATCATCCGCTCAACTTAACAAAGTAAATAATATAAATTTAGGGGAAAGTAAGAATGTATAAAAATGATAAAAACTCATCTAATATATTTAATTTTAGAAAGAGATATTCATTAATCATTCATCAGTGAGATTCTCCAGGCATGACCATCTTTAATTACAAAGTTGTTCTATATAATGTCCAGTTCAAGTTCACCTATTAATGACATATAATAATATATCCTGCTTTGAGTGCTTGAGCCATGTTATAGGTGGTTTCATTCCTTTTTTTATAATTCTCTTTAGTCGTTTTTACAGTTAATAAAAACTTATTTATAGGGATACCAATTTTTAGAGGCCGATCCGATATTAAATTGATATCGGCCGTTTACCGATCCGGTAGCATATCTAATTTTGCATTGTAAAGATACTAATGATTTTAATTTTTAATATACTTCTTATTAGTATAACATCTATAATTTAACTCTACCATAACTTATGTCATTTGAGTATATTATAATGATCAGTTATATTTTATATTCAATTTAATTGCAACTAAAAGTATATAAAATATTTTTATTGTTAAATCACTTTTATATAACATTAATTTATATACATAATAAGTAATAAACAAATAAATATATGATGAAATTTGAAATAAATAATTAAAATAATATTTAACATTAATATATCGAAGATTTATTTTTAGAAATACAAAATTTCAAATTTCTGCGACGATGGTAACTGTCAATATCACCAGCTTCACTAAAAAGAGATTATCGCCCACTTTTATAAACAGAATGCGCAAAAAAAATAATAATATGGCAGAATGTTTATTAATTAATTATTTTTATTAAAAAAATATACATAAAAATGGATTTCGATTTTATTTATAAAAATAAATGATTTTTACATATAACTTTTTTTAAAAATTTATAACATTTTATTTTGGTTAAAAACGCCATTTATCGGTTAAGAAAGTTTTATAATTTTGGCCGATAACCGATATTTTAAAATGGGTGAAATATCGGCCCGATCTGATCCATATTTATTTATAAATTTTAAAAGGTATCTTTGATGATCGTTTTATAGTTTATAAGTTTAAGAAAATATTTCTAAGATTATTCTACATTTCTTATTTTAAACCTTCATAGCACAGGTGAAAAAATGACACGAAGTCTAGGTGAGGTTCCCTCGAACCCCAGTTAGTATCCTCTATATTAGAATTAAATTTGCCGATAGCTTTCATATTTTAAACATATACTAAATAAACTCTAATTCACTGTTATATTAAGTTTTTATTCTTATTTTAAGATTTTGTCAAAAAATTGACAAATTATTTTAAAATATATATAAAAAAATTAAAAAAATTGATGATGTAGAATGTTTATCTAAGGTTTAAATATTAATATATTCTTCTCCGTTTAATCGCGATTTCCAGATTTACTCAGGTTAGCCAGTTTACCCTCTGATTTCTTCTCCATTTTATGATATAAATTGGTTATTTATGCTTAATATGATACACGGATGACAACATGAGGTCTATGTGTACCCCAAGCTCCAAAAAACTGTTATAGTTAATGAACTATCAAATCAAAATTAATTTTGCATATATATATATTTTTTACCTAAAAAATATTAAGCTACTAAAAGGTTCAGACAAAAATATCTTAAGAATTTTAGGTAACGTTTTTTAAATGACTGGTATTATAGCTTCAAGTTTCCATTTTAAAATGACTTATATAATATTCAAATTAAATAGTCCCACCTATTCTATGAAGGGTTAAATTAAACTCCTGATAAGGGTTAAATTAAACTTCTGATTTCCTTTACTTATCTTTTTCCAAAAGTAAAAACAGCTGACATAGTATAATATTAACTAAATGATTTTAAAATGGGAAATTTGAAATTTGTTTCTCTCACCCTCTTTCCTATTAATATTCTTTGCGGAGCCTCGTTTAACCTACAAAAAATTTGAGCAGTAATCATTTTAGATATTATAATTTAGTTGATATTTAGCAGTAATGATTAAAATGTAAAAAATAATATTTAGAATGTTTATCAAATCTTTGAAGCTATTATTTTGGAAATCGAGAAAGCAGACGGTAATTTCAAAGAAAAATCATCATGTATTATCACATGAAATTCAATGATATTTTATAAAAAATGTTTATTTGATTAGTATAATTTTTTTTACACATTTTATAATAAAAATGAGAGAGATTTTAATATCTTATGATTAGTAATAGTTTACGTTAATAATTTCGATACTATCTATATTGTAGAAGAATATCATATTTGCAATATATTATTGTATTATTAATGCACCCCTTTATTATATAAATTTGAATTTATGCTGTTTATTATTGGTTTTCTTTAATATACTTTATTTATGATTTTTTTTAAATATTGTAAATAAATTTTATATCTATATATCTTGGTACCTCCTTTCATGTTGTGGTGCAAATGTTAATAAATTTGGACTGATTATTCAACCACTTTCTTTTATTTAGATCATTTTACACTCAAACATTTTGGTTAATAATTTATTAAATATTTATCTATCAATTAAGTAGGGATTGATAGCTAATTATTAGCGCCGTCACTTTTTTCTATTAGCTATAGCAAAGATTTAATCTTTTTTTATTCCAATCAAACTATAATATAATATTATAAAACCTTATTCTTTAAAAACGGAGGTGATCCTAATAAACATGAAAAATTATATTTTAAAATGGTAATTTGTATATTTTTTTTTTTAAATTTTGACGTTGTCCAAGGGAAGAAAAAAATATAATTTATTAATTTCGAGTATATAATATTTCCTCGGCTATATCAATTCGGTTAGAATTTACATTTTTTAATATTTTTATATTAAAAGACAGGCATATAAAATTTTTTTTTAAAAAATAGCGCATGTATTGTATTTAAAACAAACAAATGTGTAAAAATTAAATCTAATTTAAAAAAATAATAACTATGAGATCGGTTTACTTGCATTGCAATATGGAACCATGAATAGCAATACATTAATTTGATGAATAGCCATCGTAATGGCTTGCTTGAAATACAGTAATAATATGATTTGTAAACATTTCCATATATGTTAAAAAACATTACAATATTAAAACAAAATCCATAATTAACGACGATCCATATTTATTCATAATTATATTTATCTATCCATTAAAAAAAATATAAAGATTATAAATAATAATTATCCAGCTTCATATATTCTTCATCCCCACTTGTTCTTCCCAGCTGACATCTTCTCCAATTAATCCAATATCTTCACTCCAAATCTCCAACAAAGGACTTTTTATTGACAATCAACCATATGATCATCTCAATTAATTCCCCTGTCAGAAAATAACTGACATTTGATGTATTATATTAAATTTATTCCTTCTTTTCTTCAACAGCTACAACACGCCCACCCTTCACCAGCCTAGCGTCCCTTTCTCTGTGGTGGTGTTGTATCGAATCACCCTTTGAATTTTATCGACCTTGAATTGTATCAAATCGCCCCTTTGAATTGCATCGAATCGCCCCTTTGAATTGTATCGGGACTAGTGTTGCGTAATCGGCTAATTTTAGCCGACTAAAAACGGCTTAGCCGAGATTTTAGGTGGAAAAATCGGCTAAGCCTAATTAGGTATAGCCTAAAAATCGGCTAAGCCTAATTAGGCTAAGCCTAAAAATCGGCTAAACCTAATTAGGCTAAGCCTAAAAATCGGCTAAACCAATTAGGCTAAGCCTAAAAATCGGCTAAGCTTAAAAATTGGCTAAAATAAATTATTCAAAATTCTGCATCAATGCTTAGCATTAATTATTATTTATTTATTTTAGTAAAATAATTTATTTTATTTATATTTAATGTAAATATTTTATTATTATTAACAAATAAACATGATATGATTTAATATTTTTTATTTATATTATTATATTTTGAAATGAAAATAAATTTATTTATTTGATGTTTTTTAATAAAAAAAAATAATATGCTGCTATATTGTAAAAATGTAATATTCTTTAAATATAATTTATTAGTGATTTTCACAATCTTCTTTGTAAATACATCTTTTATTGAGGAATTATATTGTAAATTTTATTAGATAAATAAACAATCTTTTAGGTGAAATCTTATATCATTTTTTTTAATTATCTATTTATTATTAAATGAGGTGGATTTTATGAAACTTTTTTGATGTTATTTTATATGATCTTTTTAAGGATAATATTTTAATGTGATAATTGTCATAATCGTTCTTTTATAAGTTTTTTGAATTTTTTTGAAGAAAGTATGTTAAAATAAGTATTAATAACATGTGTAAATACAAATTTAATGAAGATGTACCAATGAAAAGTGACAATTGTCATAATCGTTATTTTTCGGGTTTTTGAATTTTTTTGACGAAAATATGTTAAAATAAGAATTAATAACATGTGTATATATAAATTTAGTGAAGATGTACCAATGAAAAGTGACAATTGTCATAATAATGGTTAATTTTAAAGTTTTTTGAATTTTTTTGACGAAAATTTGTTAAAATAAGTATTAATAACATGTGTAAATATAAATTTAGTGAAGATGTACCATAAAAGTGACAATTGTCATAATCGTTATTTTTAAAGTTTTTCGAATTTTTTTGACGAAAATATGTTAAAATAAGAATTAATAACATGTGTAAATATAAATTTAGTGAAGATGTACCAATGAAAAGTGACAATTGTCATAATGGTTAATTTTAAAGTTTTTTGATTTTTTTTGACGAAAATTTGTTAAAATAAGTATTAATAACATGTGTAAATATAAATTTAGTGAAGATGTACCATAGAAAAGTGACAATTGTCATAATCGTTATTTTTAAAGTTTTTCGAATTTTTTTGACGAAAATATGTTAAAATAAGAATTAATAACATGTGTAAATATAAATTTAGTGAAGATGTACCAATGAAAAGTGACAATTGTCATAATGGTTAATTTTAAAGTTTTTTGAATTTTTTTGACGAAAATATGTCAAAATAAGTATTAATAACATGTGTAAATATAAATTTAGTGAAGATAGTGACATTTGTCATAATCGTTAATTTTAAAGTTTTTTGATTTTTTTTAAGAAAATATGTTAAAATAAGTATTAATAACATGTGTAAATATAAATTTAGTGAAGATGTACCAATGAAAAGTGACATTTGTCATAATTGTTATTTTTAAAGTTTTTTGAATTTTTTTGAAGAAAATATGTTAAAATAAATATTAAAAACATGTTTAAATAAAAATTTAGTGAAGATGTACCATAGAAAAGTGACAATTGTCATAATCGTTATCTTTAAAGTTTTTTGAATTTTTTTGACGAAAATATGTTAAAATAAGAATTAATAACATGTGTATATATAAATTTAGTGAAGATGTACCAATGAAAAGTGACAATTGTCATAATGGTTAATTTTAAAATTTTTTGAATTTTATTGACAAAGATATTTTAAAATAAGTATTGATAACATGTTTAAATAAAAATTTAGTGAAAATGTACTCCAGATAAGCGACAATTGTCATAATCGTTATTTTTAAAGTTTTTTGATTTTTTTTGACGAAAATAGTTAACTTGCATCGATATTGATTTTAAAATAGAAAAAAAAGTTTACCCAAATTTTAAACAAGATTGTCTGATGAAAATTGGTAAAAAAAATAATAATTTCTAACTTAGGATTAGATATTATGATATAAATTTTGCATATTAATTTCTGACCCGATGAACAAATGTAATAAAATGCCAATTTGCTCCTGTTTTTGGGGAAGAATCTATTATTACCATATGTGTTTCTATGGCATATA